GTCATCAGAAGATACCACTAAGAGAGTAAAAGGCAAAAAAAAAAAAAAAAGAGAGAGAGAGAGAAAGAGAGAGTGAAAGGCAAGCTGCAGGATGAGAGATATTTGCAAGGCATATATCCTATAAAGGACTTGTATCCAAAGCATATTTCTTTTTTTTTTTTTTTAAAGATTTTATTTATTTATTTGACAGACAGAGATCACAAGCAGGCAGAGAGGCAGGCAGAGAGAGAGAGAGGAGGAAGCAGGCTCCCTGCGGAGCAGAGAGCCCGATGCGGGGCTCGATCCCAGGACCCCGGGATCATGACCTGAGCCGAAGGCAGAGGCTTTAACCCACTGAGCCACCCAGGCGCCCCCAAAGCATATTTCTTAAACTACAAATCAATACTTTTTTTTTTTTTTAAAGATTTTATTTATTTATTTGACAGAGAGAGATGACAAGTAGACAGGCAGGCAGAGAGAGGGAGGGAAGCAGGCTCCCCGCTGAGCAGAGAGCCCGATGTGGGACTCGATCCCAGGACCCTGAGATCATGACCCGGGCCGAAGGCAGTGGCTTAAACCACTGAGCCACCCAGGCGCCCCAAATCAATACTTTTTTTAAAAATCCAGAAAACTTAGTAGAAAATGGGCAAAAGACTTAGAAGAGGTACTTCTAAGAGGTACTTCTAACTATCCAAATAGTTAATAATGATATGAAAAAGATACAACTTCATTAATAATAATAATGGAAAAGGAATTTTAAACCATAATTTGATATCACCTCATACTCACTAGGGTGACTACAAGAAAAAGGGACGCATACAATTGCTGGTGAAGATGTGGCATGTCTGGAGCCACTGGTGGGAATGTGGATTGATCCAATCACTTTTGAAAATTGTTTGACCATATGTGGTGAAATTTTACTAAAGTTAAATACACACATATAACTCAGCAGTTCGACTCCTAGGCATATTCCCAAAGAAATGTGTACATCTGTTCACCAAAAGACAGTTCCTAGAGTATCTTAACAACTGTCTCAGTAGAGCCCCAAACTAGAAACAACCAAAGTGTCTATCAAAGTTGAATAGAAATATAAATGTGGTATATTTGTACGATGGAATACCATAAGGCACTGAGACCAAACAATTTCAACAGCAACGCGAATGGATCTTACAGATTTGGTGTTCAGCGAAAGCAGCCAGATACAAAAGAATGCATGCGTATGATTCCATTTATACAAAGTTCAAAGACATGCAAAATTAATCTGTATTAGAAGTTAGGATACCACCGTAACCCTGGGGGAGGGCAACAGTAACTGAAATAGAATGCACATGATTCTGAGGTGCTGAAATGTTCTATTTCTTGATCTTGGAGTCTGGTTCCATGGGTTCATTCACATTTTAAAGGTTCTTTAAACTGTATCCTTATGTTAAGGGCATTTCTGTACATAACTCTCTGTTAGAAGAAAAAGATAAGACCTACAATGTAGAGGTAATCTTAGGGCTAAATGGATAGAAGCCAGGTAAGGGACTTCTTCCTCTTGGGACCCTAGAGGATGGAATAGTTCTAGGATCTCAGAGAGTAAAATTTTGCCAGTCAGATTATCTAGATCTATGGCATGCCGTGTTCATGTCTGTATGTCGGTGTTCTAGCCTCTGGAAACAACCTTGTTTGAATGTTTCATGAATTGGGCTGTAATCAATTTAGGAAAGCCTCATTTGTCCATGTTAGGGACAAAACATTAAAGACTGAGTGTTGGGCACCTGGGTGGCCAGTCTTTAAGAGTCTGTCTTTGGCTCAGGTCATGCATGATCCCAGAGTCCTGGGATCGAGGCCCACATCAGGCTCTCTGCTCTGCAGGAAGCCTGCTTCTCCCTCTCCACTCCCCCTGCTTGTGTCCCCTCTCTCGCTGAGTCTCTCTCTGTCAAATAAATAAATAAAATCTTTAAAAAAAAAAAAAAGACTGAGTGTTTCTTACCCCCTTTAAGTCTGATCATAAAAAACTACATTTCTCAGACTTCTTTGCAGTTAGATATGGCTATGTGACTGACTTCCAGCCAATAGAACCAGTGGAATTTATAGGTACCACTTATAGTTTAGAAAAACCTCTCTCCTGTTGTTGGTTTTCTGTTTTTGTGTTTTTTGTTTTTTGTTTTAAATTATTTACCTCAAAGAAATGGAGAAAAACCTCAGGGTGACAGGGTGACTACTGGAAACACATGTCAAAATTGATAGAGAGCTTTATCAACTTGGTCCCTGAGAACTTCACGGAACAGAGCTCTTCCTCATCCCAGGCCTAGACTGGAACTGTATTGTCCTATTACATAGTAATATGTACTATTACATGGAACTTAAATTTTAGAACATATTTGTCACAGAAGATGGCATTTTCCTAACTTAGTGAGCTTGGCAGAAATTCCTTGTGGGATCTTAGCTCTTTGTTGTTCTCTCAGCAATACCATGGCCCAAGCTTGCACTTACCTCTTAACCATTGTCGGTCATAACTAATATCCCATCAGCCTAATTTTTATGTTGTGCTCTATTTACTGGCTCACATTTTCCCACACAGAAGATCCGTGGTCACCTTTTGTTTTTACCTGGTCACACTGACACTCAAGGTCTTTCTATAATTTTTTTCCTTACCATTTGATGACCTGAAAGAATTTAGGGACAGCTCTGACTTGTGTATTTCCCTGTGTACTTTGTATTCTCGATTTACCGCCTCCGTATTTTCAGCTCTGGTGGTTCCTTCCACTCGTTGTAATTTCCACCAAGACCACTCTCACCAAGGCGAATAGTTACCTCTGAATTGCCATCTCCAACAAACTCTTTTAGTTGTAATATAATAATAACGGTTGAGCTATAATTGGTTCTTGATATACTGGAACTCTGACACATCTGATGCTCATTCTCCAAAAAACTCCCAACTCCCCTAACGTTTTGGACACCACAGTCTTCTAGTTCCCCCTCTATCTCTCTCACTGTTCCTTCTTGGCCTCCCCAGAGGGCCTTTTTCCCCCTCGACCTTCCGCTACAAATCTTGGGGTTACTCAGTGTTCCATGTTCAGCCCATTTTCTCCTCCTAGGTGATATTATCCATTCTCATTGTTCTGGATTTCACCTATAAGCTGACCTCCCTGCCCCCCACCCTCACTGCCGCTTTAGGCTATTTCACAATTTCCCATAGATGTCTCATGGGCATGTCAACCTAAGTACAGACAGTACTCATGATCATACCCCCAACCCTGTCCCAGGTGTCACTTCAGGTTTCACACAGAAATCCTACCGCCCTCTCTGGATCCTCCCACTTCCTGTCAATCACTAGGTCCTGAACTTCCCTCCAAAATATTGTCTCCACATGCCCTGTTCCCCCTATTTTTATCCTAATTCCAGGTCATGTTATTTCTCTCTTGAACTCTCACAATAGCCTTGTTATCAGTTACATTGTGCCCCCCTCACAACCCCAAATTGATATGTTAAAGTCCTAACCCCCAGTACCTCAAATGGGACCTTGTTTGGCAATGGGATTATTACAGCTGTAATAAGCTGAGATGAGGTCATACTGGAGGAGAATGGGCCCCTAATCTAGTATGACTCATGTTCTGATAAAAAATGGAAATTGGACACAGACACAAGCATAGGAGAAAGTCCTGTAAAGAGAGAAGTTCTGCTGTCCCAGCCCAGGAACTACCTAAAGCCAGCAGAGAGGCCTGGAACAGATCCTTCCTTAGCACCCCAAAGAGAATATGACCTTGCTTTCAATGTTTTAGCCTGCAGAACGGTGAGACTAGACATTTCTGCTGTTTAAGCCACCCAGTGTGTGGTTCTTTGTCCCAGCAGCCCTAGCAAATGGATACAGGCTTCCCTGCCTATCTCGTTTGCCTCCAGCTTCTTCCCCAATGCCTCGCAGCAGAGCGAGCTCTCCGAAACACAACCCATCCAATACCCGCTCTCCCGCTTCACTGTTTACAGATTATGTCCCAGGTTCCTTAGTACGGTTTACAAGGCTCTTGCCAAATTCACATTTTCCTCTCCAGCTAAGTTGAGTGGCTGGGCTGCCCCCAACTGCGTGATGCCATTTCAAAATATTGACCTTTGCCCATTTCCCCAACTATAATGCCCGTTCCCACACCTACTTAGTATTCTCATCCTTTAAAATTTAGTGCAGACATTCCCAGGACGCCTGCCCAGATATGCCTCCCCACCCCACCCAGCACCACGAGCACCAGCTTTGTGGAGGGGGTAGGTGACGTCTCTCTGATCCCGGGTCTCCTCTGTGTATCAGACACACAGGAGTTTCTGCATTTTATTAGAATTATCTTTGCATCGGTTTGCCCCAGCAAACTGTTAATTGCCTGGCTCTCCGGAGTAGTGTGTGTGTGTGTGTGTGTGTGTGTGTGTGTGTATACGCCCATGCCCGCACACACACATACACAGAAACACATCTATTTAAAGTAAGATCGGTTCTCTAAGGAGTTGGTAGGGGGCAGTACAGAAGGTAGGGGTCTATGGCACGGGGTGAGTTATGGATAGATTGGTGTGATTTCCAAAAACCAAAAACCAAAAACCAAAAGGCTCATTATCTCCCAAGCTTATTTCATCTCCCTTGCTGTTGTACACTCAGGGCAGCCGGGGTGGGGGTTGGGGAGGCACAAAACCCAGATCTCCCCCACCCCTCCAAGCCCCATCATGATCCCTTGGAAAGAACGCCGGACTGGCCCACGCCAACAAGACATCCCATAAGAAATGGCCCACTGCCCTCTATCTAATGTACTGAATGTCGTGGGAGCTCCAAAGTCATGCAGCCTTTTGGGGGAGGGGCGCAGGGGCCGGGCGGGAGGCGCAGAGAATGAAGAAATACATTCAACACTAATGCCTGAATTGACTGAGATGCTTCCCACGGCCGCTTAGCTCTCTCCCCTCCTCCCACCTTAAAGGCATTCTGACCTTCAGCGCTCCCTCCCTCCCTTTTGCAAGTAGCGGGCCCCCTCTCCAGACCCTCTCTTACTCTTCTGGTCTCCTACCTGTCTGGATCAGAAGAAGGTAGACAAAAGGAGTGAGGCTCAAGGCACTGAAGGCTCTGGATGGGGCTCCCCTTTCTCTCTTCATTTTGGGTGGCGTTCTCCAGCTCCGGCGCACACAATTAGCATGATTTCTCCACTCTGGGCACGTCCCTTTGTACCACTCGGAGTTTCTCTGCCCGAACACAACCCTGCCAACTTCCCTCTGAATACACAGAGCCCTGTGTATTGCTGGACTTGTTCTTTCCTCTCTTTCAGACCAGGCATTTTCTAGTTTCAAAGCACTACATCCCCAGGTCGGAAGGGGGTATCTGCTTAGGATCTAATCCTCAGTGCGGGTTCTCATCGGATGGGCCCCATCCGTTCTTTGCCTGCCTGTGCTGAGCCCCACTACCTACCAGGGGGTGATGAGGATTGGGGCTCAGTGAGGGGACTGGCCTGGGACACACACTGAACTGGATCTTGTGTCCCAACCTCCCCTGTCTCCACCTCACGCTCCGTGTTCCTGCGAAGGAAGGGCGCGTGCCAGGGACAGACCTCCAATAAGCTCCGAAAAGGGAGGGAGAGGAGCTTTTAAAAAGCCCGGGGAAAGACAGACTCCAGAGAACTGCTGAAGAAATGGAAAATCCCTGTTCCTCCCCCAGGAAGAAGATTGGAAAATGGCTCGAATTCTATTATTTTCCTACCTGTCCTTGTCCTGCCTGGCACTCTCTCTCCTATCACAGAACCACATAGATGCTGGGGACCTCTTTCTAGGAACCACTCTGTTCACTCCCCTGCCTCCAGCCAATTTTCTAGAACGTGTCAGAACACAGATGAAGGTAATACTCTAACAGCCAGGATCCTGGTTCTGTTAGCAGCTTTGCCACCTACTTACCTCCTCTTGTCTCGAGGATGTGATGAGGAGAAGCATCCTCGCTCCACCGGACCCCTGACCCCTGACTACTGTGTCCACACCTCTTCAGGAGGGCTGTCAATGGAATGTGTGCTTACAAACTGTGAGATCTTGGGATGGGCTTATAATCTCCTTAAGCCTCCAATTTCACATCTTCTTTGTAGGGTACGTAACTTCATCGTAGGAATTGTTGAGAGGATCAACAATAACTCAGTACAGTGGAGGGCCCTGGAAACTCTTTGTTAGAGAGATAACATTTTAAACTTAAAAAAAAAAAAAAAAAAGCAACCCCACTGCCTCTTCCTTTCTTTCATTCCTGTAGCAATCTTTATATTTTGATGAGATCAAAGTTTATAGCTCCCCTCTTGGTTGTCTCTGAGCCTGATCTTAGTCTTGTAAATGTGGTAGCTCCCTCTCAAAGGAGTCTCGTTCCATATGGGAGAAAGCCTGAGTAGGCCAGTTTTCGGGAACGGAAGACTCATTGCATAGCTCATCTGAGCCAAAGATGGAGAGTCAAGGAGAGTCGAGGAGAGAAGCACTGGTTTTGAACTTCATGAAGGAACTCCAAAAAAAATTCTGAAATACATAAAGATTCTTTTTTTTTTTTTTTTTTCCCATTTTGCATTTCTGTGTCTATGACTTTTCCCTAGACTTTTGCCTCTGGTAAAAGTTAGCATGGTTTCAGTAGACATACAATGAAAAAGAAAAAGTCAAGATTAAGCTTTTGACATCTAAAACAGTATTTGAGAGGCAGCAGCAAGACAAAAGGCTTATGAGCCAGTCTTTGTAAAGGACAAAAGGATATTTTAATTTCCTTTAACTATCACTTCCACCTATCACAAGCAACCTGTGGACAGACTCACAGAGTTCTTCTTCTGTATAGCCTAGATAAAAGGCCTCTTGTGTCCGTGAGGGCTAGGCCTTGAGGTTTATTGTCTGAGGGTAAAAGGAGGATATGATGTTCAGGAAATAGAAAGTCTGGAGGCCGCCTTTTTTTAGCCTGAAGGACAATGGCAAGAAAAATGTGTTAGCTGGATCCCTAAGCAGAATCAAACTTCTCAGCATCCTCCCTTCCCCTGCCCTAGGGTTGGACCTTAAGCTCCTTATATCCATACAGAATATGCAAGTGACCCAAAGTATTCACAAGCTCCCTTAAGGGGACTGAGAAGTGCCCAGAGAACAAAGAACTGGCAACACCTGGGGCCTGCCAACTCCTGTGGAAAGGTCAGCATGTGGCTCAGCAGGGAGTAGGGAAAATGCCAAACCCGTCCACAGACCCCAGCTCCATCCTTGTCACGAGGTCTCCTAAGCCATACCGCATACGCTCACCTCAACTCTCCTTAGACAGGAGCTGGGTTGGGGGAAGGAACTAAACACATTGAATGAGTAGTTACATAAGTTGTTCCAGCAGTGACCAAGCCTCCTCAAGCTAATGTCGAAATAGATGGGTCAGAATGAGTTTACCAGGATGGATTAATATGTGACTTTTCTCTGCTGCCTGGGGGCCGCAAGGGGGCGCAGGTGGCGGGTTGCAGCGGCCAGCCACAAAGGCACAAAGGGACTGTGGTTGCTTTGCGTGTCTGGGTATCCAAGGAGCAATCCTGCAATTTTTCTCCACGTCCTTCTAAGATGAGTAGACCTAAAGAAGCTTATGTTATGGGCCTACACGTCTTTCTCTCTTAAACCAGTGAGGGCGCTGATTGAAGGACTATATGTCTTACTGGTCTCTGTAGTCCTACGGCCTAATATAGGGCGGGCACATAGTAGGTTCTCAGCAAACAGTTGCTGAATATGGCAGGGATGAGAACTTGATGGGGGGCGGGGCACTCCTTAAGCCACTGGATACAATGTCGGGGAGCTGGGACAGGGGCATGAGGGCAGGGAGGGCACCAAATAGTGACTACCGCTGACAGACCAGTTTGGGAGTACATATGAGGCTCATCTTAATGTGAATTCCCAGAAATAACTGGGATTCACTTTGTGGGGGTGGGGAGGGCCTTCCTCATCAGATAAGCAACTGGTTTACATACACATAAGGTCAAGCCAACTTGATTCCACACATAACATAACGTTTATCTCAGCTGTCCTCGATTACCTTGCATATGTTCCTTGGGTGTGTCTGTCTCATCTAATTGTTGAGGGTAGACTAGTCTTTGATTTTATGGGGATATCCAGATTCTAAGTATTACATTTCTTCAACATCAAATGTCTATTTATACGTGTCAGTCTGATGAAGTCTTAGAATATAGATAAGGTTCAATGATGTAGAGTTCGGCGCCGATGGACAGGAAAGAATTCTTGAGATGTCTTTGGTGCAAAATGGTGGTTTATTAAAGCACGGGGACAGGACCCATGGGCAGAACGAGCTGCTGCCCCGGGGTTGTGAGGAGTGTTCCATTATATACTTGCAAGTTGGGAGGGGGTGAGGGAGGGCTTAAGTCTCTAAGAAATCTCGGAAGCAAGGTTTCCAGGACCTTGAGGGGCCAGCTATTACTGGGAAAAAGGTTATTCATGGTAATAAAACCATTTCGTGAGACCCTTTAGATGTATATCAGTGGGCCATATGCTTGGAAATGATTGTTGACACTATCTTGGAGGGTTTAGAGATAAAGTTTCCAAAGGAATTGTTAAAGTAGACTTACAGAATCCTGGTTGGGGGTATTCAGGCTAGGATTGCCCTTTGCCCTTAGCAAAGCCTGGCCGTTGAGTCCCTAGAGGAATGTCACTCTGCCTGTTTTAAGGGCTTGTCAGTGGGTAAGGAAATTTAATAATTTTTCTTTTGCCTCTGTTTCCCACATCAGGTCTGCATGTCCCACTTCGGGATCAGAAAATATTACTGAGGCCATTTCCTCATTAACCTGGGAGATTCTCCGGTGCAGGGACTATAACTCTTCATTCTTATGAGTCTCCTCACTGGGCCCACTTCTGAGTGAGGCTTAATGCGGCTGTTGAAGTAGATTATGTAGATGGACTGCTTGACTGCCAATGGTAATGCCCTTCCTTAGCCAAGACCCGGCCCGTATCTCCTCTGAGCACTTCACAGATGCATTTCCAAAGACACTGTCCCCTCCTGAGCAGTGTGGCCCCGTCCTCTTGCCTCTGCTGTGCACAGTTGCTTCCGGCCACTCTTCATTGGTCCCAGCTGGGGTGCTGGGACCGGACTCCTCACCCTTGCACCCATGGCAGCCCTAGCCTGCTGCATTCAGACCTCTGTGCTGAGCACCCAGATGGTGCCCCTGAGGCTCAGAATGGAGCCCCCAAAACACACATGCACACACACACACCTGTCAACGTAAACTCACAAGTGTTCAACCCCCAGGACAGGAGGCAATGCCTTATTTTGAATAAGTTACCACCCTACATAGACCTTTATGGGAAATGCTGGTGGGCGGGGGAAGCTGGCTGGGGAATCATAAAAATGAGCTCTGACTTCAGAGAGCTGAAGGTCTTGCAGGAAGGGCAGAACAGTAGATTCACTCCACAGCAAGAGACATTTGGGATTACCTTGTCCCACCTCTCCATTTCTTAGATGAGGGAGTGGAGGGACAAAGAAGTTAAGTAACATGCCCAGAGTGAAACTCTTATGTAAGTCCAACCGAGGACTCCTGAAGTTACTTTATTGTAGAGACAAGAAGAATTAACACACACACACACACACACACACACACACACACACACACACATTGGTAGATAAGTACCAATTTTAATAACTCGAGCATTAGATTTAAGAACATCTCCACCCAGCTGGCTTGTTTCTTTTTCTCCAGGCTCTAGGAAGAACGCACTGGCATTGATGATCTTACTGGAGAGGTTCTGGCCATATTGACCATAATGATCAGTGGTAATTTTTATATTTAACGCTCTCCTCTCTTTCTCTCCATTCACTTCCTGGTATTGAATCATATCTTTTCTTGCATTAGACTGTAACTCATCTTTGGTAGCAGAGTGAAAAGAAGTCTTCCAACAAATGGCACCAAAATTCCTCTTAAGGAATTGTCTTTAGCCAGAAAAAGATTTAAATACATCACAGGGAGTGGGATGTAAGGTTAAGCATCAAAGGTTGAGGAACAAAAAGATAAACTGCTATGCTTTAGAAATAGACAGGAATTGGGGGGTGGGTAACAAGCAGAGGGGAGAGAAGTCAGGAAGGAGAGAGAGAATGAAAGAGCCATATGGTGGGGGAGCTGAAGAAA